AAGAGGAGGAGGGGGGAGGAGGAGGAGGAGGAGGAGGAGGAGAAGGAGGAGGCCATTGCAACAGGAACGGTTGTTTTGGTTTAACGGAAGTTTCCTCTGCTTTGGCAGTACCGTACTTTTAGGGTCTTCTGGTGGTCAAGCCATTCACTTTTTCAGAGCAACATTCTTTGTTGAAAGTGCTCAAGACTACACTGGGCATTTCCCTAAAAAAACGTGGGTCCTCAAAATACCCTTGAAATCTTTATTTATTTAATTTCTTTGTCTTTTTATTTAACTTTGGCAAACAATAGAAATGATTATTATATTTCATTTTATCTCAAGTTTTTAATGCTCTGGGTGTTTTAGATTGTTATTGATTGACTGATTAATAATTTTTTTTTTCTCATAAAATTTATTTTTCTTTGTTTAATTTTCTGTAAATTGTTTATTCTTCTTTTTTTCCCCTTTTTTTTTTGGGGGGGGGGGGGGGGGGTCATCAGATCCCCCTGTGTTAAACATGCCATGTTACAGAGTTCAGTTTTCACTCATCTGAGACGAACAAACGGTTGAAAATATTCTTCCTTCATCTGGCTGCCCAGTTAACGCAGTCTATGCAGCTGATGTACAGCCACCGGTGATTTCGTTCCCCGACCATGCACAATACTTCATAGCATCCGAGACCTCGCATTGTGGCCATCTGCTCGGAAAGGTCACAGTGATAAATTCGACGTCATTAGAAACAACGAATGAGTACTTGAACCTTACAGAAGTGTCACACAATGGAAACCAGAAGACATACAATGTTACGCTGAAAAAGTTACTAGACTATGAACTGGTAAGATTTTTACTCTTCTCTGAGGTCAGTTTTAGATTTATTTTGGGGTATTGTCAGCTTTGATTCTTTTTCTTTTTCTTTCTTCAATTTTTCAAACTCACAATTAGCTTCAACTGCGCTGCTTTTCCGTTCCATCATACGTTTGAATATTAACATTCGTTCTACCACACTCTCAAATACATGTCGACGGTTCAATTAAAAAAACTTTATCTTTTTGCTTTCCCGCGACCGGAGATCATCCTTCCTCCCATTTGTTTCGATGTGAGGACAGGGCATTTACACTTTGATCCTCACATCGAAAAGATAATATGTGACGGAGAAAGATCTGTGGCTACGGAAAAGCAACAAAAAAGCCCCCCCCCCAAAAAAAACAAAAACAAAAAACAACCCAAAAACCAACAAACAAACAAACAAACAAACAAACCCAAAACAAGTCGACTTTAGACACATTTGGCAAGCAGGTTTCTTAAACTGAACCGTTCGATGTTTACCGCAGAGCAAAAAAGCAAATCTCGGCAATAATTGGGCATTGAGGCTATGATACTTCCCTTCTTGCTCTGTTTCGACCTTTATGTCTCTCAATTAATATTCTAGGATGGTTTGAAGGCCTCCACTGTTAGGCTCTATTTTCTCTCCTTCCCCTTCTGTTGTTTCAGTCTGCCTGTCTAGCTTTTTGAGAGCATTTAATTATCGTCGTGGTGTCAATGGGATTTGTTTACTCAAGCAAGTATCATTTCGTATTTACTCGACATGAACTCCAGATCTTACTGTCGAACCCGCTTTCCACGACTCAACTTGTAGTTTCGGTAGCTGTTTTGATTATTTGAATTTGAATATTCTTTCTACGTCTTTGAAAAAGGTGGGGGCGGGGCTGCGTGATAATGTTGCTATTGATGCTTTTATTTTCATTGTAAGTATTGCTGCTATGAGGGTCTTTATATTTTTCGGTAGCTTGTGCTCTTTTTTTTTCTCCGCCAACGGTACTGTTGCTTCCTTTTATCGCTAATTCGTATACCTTAGTGTTAAAACGTACCCGAAGAAAATGTTTTACTTAAATGAAAAGGGAAGAACATGTAAGAAATAGTTTTCAGGTTTTATGTACCAAAACGGAAAAAAACATAATTATTTTGATGAAATGTGTGTGCCTTTCGTTTCATCTTTTCTTGCCTTTATTTTATCCAACAGGCTCAGAAGATGACCCTTGTCTTTAAGGCGTCAAACACAAAGGTAAGAGACGCTGCAAGATATTAAATCGGGTCCATAACCCTCACGTAAACGAGGGATTTTGGTTGGGATGTCCTTTTGTTGCTGTTGTTTGGTAAGGTTATTTAACTTTCTATACTTATTTTTGTTGCTCTTGTTCTTGTTCTTGTTTTGTTTTGGTTAATTTTTAGCTTTGTTTCTTTGTTTTCTTTGTCATATTTACGGTACCTTTCAATAAATATATTTTTAGGGAGGGGGGGGGGGAGAGAGGGGGGGGGGGAGGGCTGAGGTGGTTGCTGTTGTTGGTAACGGAATCCAATTTTAAGAGTCTCGTTACCGCTTTTTGTTTCACCTTTGTCTCTGTCTTGGTGTGGATTTCCAGTTTTAACGACGCCAAGTAAGGTCTACAGATGTGATGCAGAAATGTTTCTTAGGTACTGGTGGTGTAAAACTAAAGGCCCGCGAGAGAATTTTAAATACCGGGTAGTCCATTCTGAGAATCTTCATTACACAGAATTTAAAGCGTTTCAACAGAATCTTTTTCCGTATAAAAAACGAGCCTACTGACTCGAAGAGGTGCCAGACATCCAACTCTGACACACTATGACATTAGAAGGAAAACATGTCTCTCTTTCTCGTCCGTTTGCTTCCTCACCTCTCGTTTGTGTGTTTCTTTCAGTCTCTCATTTGGTCTCCATGTCTGTATTACATTTGTCGTACGAGTGTAAACGTGTAATGAAGTAATTATAACACGCACGTATTAATTTGTCCTACTTGCATACGTATATAAATCAGCACTCGAGATGTTTGCGGAGTTGTCATAGATCTCCACCCCCTTTATTCTGTCCTCTTATAAGGAAAATGTGTGGAAATAGTACACTGCTTCAGAAGCAACGTTGCGCTGCCTTGTCTCCGTCAAAGTACTGGGTGTAAAAAACAAGGGAAAAAAATACCCATTTAAAGGGCAATGAGTAGGTCATCTTCTGACCAATTTCAACAAGACTTCGAACAAATAAAATTCAACCCGGAGCAAGGGGGGTGGGGGGTGAGGTGGGGGGGTGGAGAGGGGGTAGACTCCCATTTATCAATGTGAAGGAAATCAATTCACATGTTTGAAAACTATAACGTTTTTAAAATTTCTACCAAAATTGAGTGGAGCGCATAGTTTACCAACTTCTTAAAAATAAACAAATAATAAGTGTATTTGTACATTGTAGAACAATTTTATACAAAAATTGACAATGCAAAATAAACTCAAAGAAAGTGGTGGCTACTTACGTGTTCACCACTTCTGTCATGACCGGCTCGAATACGCCACTGGAAAATGTGAGCACCTTGTGGCATGTTTCTGGGTCGATTCTTTTGACATCCTGCTCTACATTGAGTTTCAACTGTTCAATTGTTTGCGGGCTGTTTCCGTAGACTCTGTCTGTCAAAAAGATCCAAGGGAAATAATTGAGAAGGGGCGGGTCAAGTCAAGGGGAAACGGTGACCATTCGTTTGTAAGCTTTCAGTTTTTGGGTCGTTTCCCAAATCTTTCTTGCAACAATGCAACACTGCCCCCCCCCCCCCCGCCCCCATCCTCCATCTGGAACCAAGGCTGCACAACCACACAGCATCTTCTTCTCCCAAAGTTTCTTTTAAACTTCCTCAGCACAGTGAGAAATATCCCTCTGATGTGTTGTTTCCCTCTCAGCCTGGGTTAGCCCTGATGACCCTGGGAGGAAGCCGGCCTCCTAAATGATCTAAATTGTGTCGATTGGGGGGGGGGGGGGAGGGGAGTAAAAGCAGATGAACAAAAAACAACAAACAAACAAAAAATACTGTATTATTTAAAGCGTTTCAACTCGTTTCACTCGTTTTCCTTCAGTACAAGAATGTGTTGGCTCAAATTACTCTGTATATCCAGCCTGTCAACGACGAGGTGCCACAACTGATCAACCTTCCGTATTCCTTCAAAATCCCAGAGGTAGGTGGCTTACGTTTCTTTGTTGTTGTTGTTTTTTATCGTGTGTTTTCTGCTACTGCTACTGCTGCTGCTGCTGCTGCTGCTGCTGCTGCTGCTGCTGCTGCTGCTGCTGTTGTTGTTTTTGTCGTTGTTGCTGTTGTTGTTGTTGTTGTTGTTGTGTGTGTGTGGTAGCCTATCCGTTCGAAATGTTCGGAGCCCCGAAGAGTGTGCTCTTCGCCAGGGCCACCGCCTCCCTTGGGTAGCGGGTGAGGCAGTCCAACCTCCCTGAATCCTCCCCGAAGAGATGCCACCGCCGGGCATCTCTGCAGCCAGTGCTCCAAATCTTGGGGCTCCTCGCTGCACAATGGACATATTGGGTCCGATGTTTTGTCTATTCTATTTTTGTAGGCCCGAAGCCCAGAGAAATGACCGGTCCTGATTTTTGCCAGTAATGACTGATCACTGCGGGACATAATAAGAGCCTCTCGTTTTAAAGAAAATGCCCTGTATACTTCCTTCGTCCGCGTGTGGCATATAGGGGGGTCTTTTGTAATTAGTTTTATCTGGGCGCACGCACTGTCATAAGTAATTTGGCGGCCTGGACCCGGCAGCGCTGTTGCCAGTTTGGCATTACTGTCAGCGAGATCGTTGCCGAGGATATCGCGGTGACCAGGGATCCACTGAATCGTGTTGTTGTTGTTGTTGCTGCTGCTGTTGTGTGTGTGTGTAGTTAGTAGCCTATCCGTTCGAAATTTTTTTGGAGCCCCGAAGAGTGTGCTCTTCGCCAGGGCCACCGCCTCTCTTGGGTAGCTGGTGAGACAGTCCAACCTCTCTGAATCCTCCCCAAAGAGATGCCACCGCCGGACCTCCATGGCGGAGCATCTCTGCAGCCAGTGCTCCCAATCTTGGGGCTCCTTGCTGCACAATGGACAGATTGGGTCCGATGTTTTGTCTATTCTATTTTTGTACGCCCGCAGCCCAGAGAAGTGACCGGTCCTGATTTTTGGTGGTAGGGACTGGTCACTGCGGGACTTAATTTGGGCCTCTCGTTTTACGGAAATTGCACTGTTGTTGTTGTTGTTGTTGTTGTTGTTGTTAATGTTGCAATTATTAATGTTGTTGTTGTTGTTGATGATGATGATGTTGTTCATGTTGATGTTGTTATTGTTTTTTGTTGTTGTTGTTGTTGTTGTTACTGTAAGCAGTTGCTGTCGCTATAAAATATTCGTTAATACATTTAATTATAGATAATTGTTGTTGTAGTATTTTGTTGGCGCAAATTCCTTATTCGTCAGTCATAGTCATAGCACTAGAGAGGCGCGTGATATTTTTGGTTTAGTTGAAGGTCTACCGCTGGACCGGTCTGACTTCTTTGTCACTCGTAATCTTTACCACAACAACGTTCTTTGACGCAAACTTACTTTACTTACTTTTTACTTTTTCATCCTCTGTTGCCGTTAAGCGTCGAGGGGAGATGCAGTTTTCTATGGTAGGCCAGCTCCGCAGCTCTTTCAGTTGTGATGTTACGTTTTCTTAGGGTTTCCTTGACACCCTCGATCCACTTTTTGCGTGGCCTTCCTCTTCCTTTA